GTCCACTGTCCATAAATAATGACAGATTTCTTTCCTTTATTTTTCTCATCATATTGAAAACTAAAACTTCCAGTATGTAATGAACAGAAATGATGATGGTAAGCATCCTTGTCTTGTTTCTATACTTAAAAAAAGAACACTTCTGGGTTGGTCATGGTGGCATACAGTTGTAATTCCAGCTACTCAGAGGCAGAGACGGAAGAACTGTGGTTCAAGGGCCAGCCCTAGGCAAAGTTAGCTAGAGAAAAACAAACTAAAATTAAAAGGATATGGGGCATGACTCAAGTAGTAGAGTGTTTGCTAGCAATCAACCAGCAGTGAGTTCAACGTCAAGGACCACTGGAAAAAAAAGATGACGTAAAATTTGCACATAAAACAATATGAACCTAGCCTTTTCTTTGTGATGAGATTATAAGCTATGATTCAATTGCTTTAAAATTATAGGACTTCTTACACCAGCTGGGAGCCTGTTGTGGCACACACTCATGATTCAAGAACTAGGGATGCAGATACAGGAACATCATGAGTCTAAGGCCAGCCTGGTCTACAAAGAAATACCTTGTCTCAAAAAAAAGAAAAGAAAGAAACAACAACAAAACCCAATATACTAGGCTGGGTGTTAAATATCCAGTAGCAGATCATTTGCCTAGCACGCTCAAGGTCCTGGGTTCAAGCCCTAGCACTTTCAAATAAAAGATTTAATTATAAAAATCTAAAGAGATAAGGTTTAAGAAATATGTCCATTTTTTTCTGAGTTTTCAGAATTCTTGTTATAGTATTTTTTATTTTAATCTCTACTAGACCTATGGTTATGATCTTTTTAAATTGATATTAATTTGCATCCCTTTCTCCTTTTTTATTGCTATTTTATTACTTTTTTTTTTTTGGTGGTACTGGGGTTTGAACTCAGGGCCTCACACATGTTACACAGGCACTCTACCATTTGAGTCATATCTCCAAGCCCTTTTTGAATTGGGTATTTTCAAGATGGGGGGGGGTCTCTCAAACTATTTGCCCAGGCTGGATTTGAACTGCAGTCCTCCTGATCTCTGCCCCCTGAGTAGTTAGGATTACACACGTAAGCCACTGGCACCTGGAATGTTACTCTTTTTAAAGGATAAATTTTGGCTTTATTGATTCCTTGTGTTAAAGCATTATTTTTAAATTTTTCAATAACATCTGCTCTCTATTTGGTTTATTTTTACCTTTTAATCTACTTTTTTAATCAGCTCATTAGTTTTCAACCTTCTTTGCTAATTTAAGATTGAATCTTTTCTCCTAAGTATTCCTTTCACTCTACCACAAAACTTTCCATACCATCCTTATTGTTCAGTTTTAAGTATTTTAAAACTCTTGTTATGATTTTTGCTCTTTGATCCATATGGTGTTTTCCTGGGATTCTATGTTCATCTTTTGGTGACTTCTTTCTAATAGAAAAGCCTTGGAAATGCCCCTAGGAAACCACATCCGGCCCAAAGTGAGACCCAGGACACTACCCTAGTTCTTGGTTCTGCCATGGAGGAACTTAACTCTTCATCCCAAACACCTCTGAAACTGAACAAAATATGTGAAGTAGCCATGTCCAGCACAAAACTAACAATAATAGTTGGCAGAGGGTGGATGGCAGAAGGCAATTTTCCCAAGGAAAGGAGAGTACATGGGCTCCACGTTCACTCTGGCCTTTTGCCTGGGTACTTTTTTCCGAACCACAGCAAAGGGAAACAGAATCCAAGCAGAAAGTGGCAGTCTCATTGAGCTGCAAAAACAGAAGTTTAGGTGACAGGAAATCTGTGGAACAGAGTTCCAGAGAGGAAGTAGCCACAGAGAAGTCCCAGGAATCTAGGGGCTCATCTCCTTGGCTGAATCCCAAACAGTTCAAATACAGGGTACATTCTGGGAGGCCTGAAGAACAGATGCTGTCAGGAGGGAGCCATAGAGAACTACATACTGGGGGATTCACAGTACTGGGGAGACAATGGTTTTCCCAGAAGGGAGAGACCTTGGTAAGCACCCCAAAGGCTCACCTGAGACCCTAGAAAAGTCATGCTGCAGGAAAAAGGCCTTTGCTCAAGAGAAAAGCTCAGCTGGGTGCAGAAGGCTCACTCTGATAATCCTAGTTAGTAAGGAAGCAGAGATCAGGAGGAGGGCAGTTTGAAGCCAGCCCTGTGCAAATGGCTTGTGAGACCCTATCTCAAAAAAACTCATCACAAAAAAGGCCTGGCAGAGTGGTTCAAATGGTAGAGTACTTGCCTAGCAAGCATGAGGTCCTGAGTTCAAACTCTAGTGCTGCTAAAAAAAGAGTAAGGCTCAAATCCTCACAATGATAAAAAACCCAATCCTTAATAGGATAAAAGACATGCTACTAATTTAATCTTTGCTAGAAAAAATTCAACACTATTATATAACACTATATAAAATCTCCATGATATCACATCTACAATGTGCAACATACACAAAAATTACTGTATTTGTAAAGAAATCTGAAATTTTTTACCTATAATCAGGGGTATATAGCAAGAGCAGCAGATTCACAAATGACCCAGATGCTGGTATTAGCAAAAAAATGATTTCATAATAGTTATCATAAACACGTTAAAGAATCTAGAAGAGACAAAACGGGTGGAAAGATGGAAGATTTCAGGAAAGAAATGGGAAAATAGAATCAAATGGGGGTTGAAAAGTGTATTAGCTTTAAATAAAAAATTCTTTGGATGGATAAGAGCAGATTGCACACAGCAATAGCAAGGATTTGTGAATTCCAGGATAGGTCGGTATGGAAGCATGGAAAAGCCTGTGGTCACATGTACACTGAGCCCACTAACAGGGCTGTGTGGATCTTAGGAGGCTCAGAAAACACTTTCAGAATAGGGAGAGGACTGCATTCAACTAGGGGTTGGGGTTTCACAAGATATGACCTAGTGAGAAAAGGGCAAGGGAGTAATGGGGTTTGGACTAAGATAGTTATAGACCATAGAATCTAGGCTAAGGAAGAAGTGAGAAAATACAGAGAAGACTAAATAGTTAAAAAATAATAATAATAATGGGAGGAGTCAAGTGCTGGTGGCTCACACCTATAAGCCTAGCTACTGAGGAGGCAGAGATCAGGAGGATTGCAGTTTAAAGCCAGCCCGAGCAAATAGTTCCGTGAGATTCTATCTCAAAAAAACCCTTGGCAAAAAAGAAAAAAAAAATTTTTTAAATGGGCTGGTGGAGTGGCTTAAGGTGTAGGCCCTGAGTTCAAGCCCCAGTACAGCCAAAAAAAAAAAAAAAAAATGGAGGAGGTCCCTGGACTTAGGGTTCCAATGTATGCCAATGTGTCAACTACTGGACTGGGACCTCTGGAGCTACACTATTCAAAATTTGGTCCCAGGACCAGTAGCCCTGAGCTGGAGCAAATTCTCAGACCCTCACCCCAGACATCCTGAATCAGATTCTCTGGGGATAGGGCTGATGTTTGTTCAGTTTTTTTGAGACAAGGTCTTGCTATTGTAGCCCAGGCTGGTCTAGAACTCCCAATCCTCCTGCTTCAGCCTCCCCAGTGCTGAAGCAAGCTGTTTTAACGAACTGCTCAGAGGCTTCTGATGCTTGTTAAAATTTGAGAACCTCTTTTCTAGAGAAAGGAGCTTCATAGATAAGGATACAGCATACCCTTAAAATGGGTATTTTGGAGATGCTTGGTTATTAGCAATAATAAGGTCTGTAGTACAGTGAGGGAAATGAGGGAACTGAGACAAACTAGAAGAAAAGACCATGAAAAATATAATAGTCTGTGTTGTAAGTGGCTGGACTCTTAGAGTCATCCACATGGACACTGAATCTCAGAGATGATCAGAGAGAAAGTGAGCTAGACATTGCTGTTTTCTGTGATGCAAGGGCTTAACAGACAGAATAGTAGATGACTGTAGTAAGAAAGCGAGTGAATGGTATAATCTGACAGTCTCCCTTCTTAAGAGCAGAGTTTGAAGAGAAAGGATGAGAAGCAGTTTGGATCTAGCAAGAGAAGCCACTTTAGACAGTCTTGTAATTCCAACCCATTTCTCCACCTACCTCCAACTTCTCCAGCTTTGAGGCTGACCTTGGTAGCTGCCTGTCAATATGCATTCTCTCCTTGTTGACAGAACCCAAAGCTTAAAACAATGTGCCTGTCTTTAAAGACCATATCTGCAGCTTCTATGCACAGGAAGCCGGGGCTTACAGTACTACCCAATGGAACACAAGCACAGCAGTGTCGGGCTTCTGAAGATGTACCTTGGGAGTGGACAAGGGACCTTTTCACCCTTGCTTCTCCCCTTTTCCCAGCCTGGAAACCTGATAACACGATGAGGACCCCACACCAACCCTGGTCTCCCTATCTTCTGACTTCTTCCACCAGAAAGAAAAGCAGATAGCGAACAGGTTTAAGCCATTGCATCCTGATTTCCGTAAGTAGAACCAGGTCAACCCCTAACACTTCAGGCTTTGAAACAGAATCACTGGCTGAGGGCTCATCCCTCCATACTGAAAATGGGCCAATTTTCTGAGGGAAGCTCCTGGAAGTCAGTAATGGACCTCCCCTTCTCTGCTCACTCTAGGCACTGCCCTCCCACTCACCTCCCCCCATACCTCATATTTGGCAATGTTTGTTTCCTGCCAGGAGGGACCAGATTTTATCCACTTTTGTCTTACACCTCACACCAGCAGTCACAACAGGCTGTGCAAACAGACACACAATTAATGTTTGCCATAGTAAACAAGCAAAAACCTGAATTTCAATATTCCAGGTTGAAAAGGCATGAATGAACTGCCTCATTACCCTTTTTGTCCTTGAAAATTCCAAGTTTTCGGCACCCAATCTTGCTCCTGACTGTCAAAAGCCATGAAAGTTCCCTAAATTCATCCAAGCCCTCCTTCCTCCACAGTGAAACTGGATGGGAGGATGATGAGAGAACTGAAAAAAAGCCTGTCAAGCTCTGAGGAGTGAAAACCAGGTGACCAGGGCATGGAGAGACCAAAACACCTACCGAGAGCTCCTGGGGCCACTTGGCCACACTGGGGGTCCTCTTGGGGAGACTTTTGTTTATATTCACGAACAATTTTCTCCTGTGGAAGAGCTTACCATTCAGCTCCTGGATCGCAAGCGCCACCTTCTCCACAGAGCCCAAATCTACAAATGCAAAGCTGAAAAGGAAGGTGAGAGAGGGCAGCTCTGAGTTGGGCTCAAGAGCAGACTAGAGCTGCAGGGTGGCACGAGGCCTGAGCTGCAGAAGTCTCCTGTCCTTTCTCTGCAGCAACTGGACGGGATGCTCCAAAGACACAGACAGGCCAGACTCATATCCAAACTCAGGACTATGCTTGGTCTCTGGGAACCAGAAGAAAGGAGCTGACTCTATCACTATACATGGTATGGCTATGGGTTTCTTTAAAACTCCTGCCCCACTTTTACTGCCCTGAAAATAAGAAAGGAAAAATAGGACTAGGTCCACTTTTCAGGGCCAACTAAGTCTGAGGGTGGCATAATCACCTATCACAAATCAGGAAACAGAGCAAGGACACAGCAGAAATAAACCCCAGTCTCAGGACTTCTGAATAAGAGTTATATAGAGAAGACAGAATTGGCTGCTGAGCCAGAGGGTTAAATATGGAAAGGGGGGGTTTCCCAGATGTTACTCTGCCAAATCAGTGGGTGTGGACCTGGGAGCTGCTGGGCTAGCCCACAACATCAGTGCATCAGCAAAATGGGCAGAGGAAAGGAGCTGCTTCCCAAAGCAAACAAAGGAAGAACACTCATTACCATTTGCAGCCACTCTGGATTCTGCAGACGTGGAGAGGATTGTAATCCTTTAGAAGGTAGAGAATTTCTTCCTACAACAGCAGGGGTTTAAAGGGAAAGACAGCTGGTGACATAACTTACAAGCAGTGCCTGAGGTCTTAGGTCCCCAACCTGCTAATGGATGCTCAGTTGAATATGTACTTAATGACAATCTATTCTGTGCTGTGTGTGCTGGATTTTGTGCTAAGTTCTGCCAACACAGAAACAGACAAGAACAGCTCAGTGGTTGGGTGGGGATAAGACGATCTACCCATGAACAGACCATTTCATCACAGGACGATAAATTCCATGACAAGGAAGTACAGACATCCAATGCTATGGAACACACAGGATGGGTACTGAACACAAATCTGGAGGGACAGAGCTTTCACCCTCTGCAGCATCCTTCTCCATCGCAGCCTGGCCTCTTCAGCTCAGGGATGTGGTCTCTGTGCCATTCTCCACTCCTTTCTGGGTCTGCCTTCAGGCTGCCTCCCATAAGGGAGCCCCAGTCCTCATACTTCCCAACCTGCTTTTTTGAGATAATGTTTCTGCTACTCTGATGTCCTTTGGAGCTACACCCTATTCTTTTTTCTGCCAAACTTATAGAAAGCAGTCTCCACCTAATGTCTGTTTCCTCCCCGCCCACTCCCTCCTGACTGCTAGCAGTTGGCTTCTGTTCCCACCTTGTTGAAGGTGCTTCCCTGAAGGTCACAGGTGCTGCCCAGTGCCCACTGTGATGGTTCTCAGGCCACAGCAACTTCAATTCCTACCACCTTGACTCTTCCACCTTCCTTAGCTCCCCACCAGCACGCTACAGTTGTGAAACTTCACAGCCATAATGAAAACTCATTCTTCCCAGGAAAACCCAGATTTAGGATAATGTATATTTATACCATCTTCTTTTAAAAGCAGATTTCAACAATCTAAAGTCACTTCGTTGGTAGAGGAAAACAGAAATGTATTATGTATAACTCTTTTTTCTTGGGCTTCATGTTTATATTGCATTTAAATTCAAATTTTCTGATTTGCTTTACTTTTAAATATTTAATGTTTATTATACACGAATTTACAACATGCTGAGCAACAAGCAACTTGTGAGAATGAGCACTATGTGCTTAGCACTTTCAGTTTATGAAGTATTTTCATATACCTTATTCTATTTGGTCTTCATAGCCACCTTGTGAAATGTACATTATTACTGTCCTCACCACAGAGGCATAAAAGTAAGGACCAGAGAGATTAAGTGGCTTCCCTAAGATTACAATTAGAATTTTCATTCAGGGCTTCTAACTTCAAATCCTACTTTCTCTCCATTATGTCATGCAAAACAGTAAGTTTGCCAGATATGGTGGTGCATGCCTACAAGCCCAGCACTTGGGAGATGGAGGCAGGAGGACTGTGAGTTTGAGGCTAGTCTGGTCTACATGTTGAGACCCTGTCTCAAATAAAACAAAAACAAAAAAATGATTCTTATAGTTTTGTCTCAAGTTTTACCATTATTAAAATAAAATAAAAAACGAGTATTTTCGCTACTTTGTTTAGCAGGCATCAGGAAACTACAATGTAGGGCCAAATCCAGCCTAATCTTTTTAGAATTAATAAAGTGTCATTGAAACAGTCAAACACATTTACTTTTACTCTACACTGGCAGAGCTGAGTATTTGCAACAGAAGCACACGACATTCAAAGCATAAAATATTGACTATCTGTAGCTGGGTGCTGGTGGCTCACACCTGTAATCTTAGCTACTCAGGAGGCAGAGATTAGGATAGAAGCTGGAAGCCAGCCCCAGGCAAATAGTATCCGAGACCCTATCTCAGAAAAAAAAAAAAACACCACAAAAAAAGGGTGGTGCAGTGGCTCAAGTGGTAAGAACACCAGCACTGCAAGCATGAGGCCCTGAGTTCAAATCCCAGTGCACACACACACACACACACACACACACACACACACACAAAATGTTTTTGCTACTTGTAATGGAGATGGCTGAGGCCAGCTCCAGCCTTGGGCAGAAGCGTGAGATCCTACCTGAAAAATAAACTGAAGTAAAAAGGACTAGGGGCTTGGCTCAAGGGGTAGAACACCTGCCTAGCAAGCCTGAGGCATTGAGTTTAAGCCCCAGTACCATGAAAGAAAAAAAATTGTTATCTTTTACAGCAAATTTGCCAACCCTTGTTCTCTAACAATAGTTCCCAGTTCTGACTGCAGTCAAGATTCAGTTGTGAAGTTCCTTTTTTTTCTTTTTTAGCTACTAATATGATGCCTCCCATTCTCCTCCCTTCTTCTTTCCCCCCTCCCCCCCTGCCACCCCTGCAGATAAGCAAAATCAGAAAGAAGAGTTTGGGACTAAAGCATCGATACATTATAAAAGCTCCCCAGATATTAATATACAGCCAAAGTCAAAAACTCCTGTTCCATGACATCTAGCAGATTTGGGAAGCACATTTTCAGAAAATGTGCTGTGTGTCAGAGAAGAATCCTCCTCTATTCCCCAACACACATACATATACCAAAAAAGAAAAACCCTCGAAAAATTCCAGTCACAGTTATCAGTGTGGGTATCCCAAAAGCAGACACTATTGTTGATAGTTATCATTAGGAATCCCTCAACTCTGAAGGCAGGCCCTAACTGACATTTTCTGTTATGCTCCTTAATAGTTTAATTTTTTAATTGATTATAGATTTGACAGAAGGCTTGGCAAATTAAGCTAAAATTGCTTCATGCCCCATAGGGACTCATTTACATCTCATTTTAAATAATGAAAATAACTTATTAGGATTTTTTAATTATAAAAACATTAATGCTTATTGTAGAAATATAAAAAATGCAGAGAAGCAAAACAGAAGTATCATCCATTATTCTACCTACAAAATATGAGCAAGGCACATCTCCTATGAAGATCATGGCTACTGCTGTACCTTCTTGCTTCATAACCTGTTTCATGTAACAATACATCCTTTTTAGTCAATCACCACCAACTATAATGAGTAAGGGATCTATAGCCTGCTGTTAATTATAGCACTTGCATTTATGAGCCACTGGCTTTGTGCCAGACAGGTGGGAGGTTACTGTGGTTACCTGTGTACTAAATCATCTCGCACCCATCAGATCAGCAACAATTTATGCTAGAAAACATCAAGCCTTGGTGGGAGTGCAAGCCATACCAGCCTCCTGGTCAAGCTGTGTGTACTGTGTGGCCTGAGGTGGTATATCTAAGACAGGCTCTAGACACACACATATGCACACAGACACATGCACAAGCAACTTCACCAAAACTGTTTGAAGTAGCAAAAACTGGACAATGTATGTCTGAACCATGTGAAACTGAGGCTTTTGCAGGCAAAAAAAAGTAGTCCAAAATTCAGTAACTTCATATGGTACAAGCAAAGCCTTGAAATGTCTACTGGTAAGTAAACACACAGTGCTAGAATATTGTAAAACTAACCAGAGCTGCATGGGCCAACAGGAATGTGTGGGGTTTTGTTTGCTCGTTTTCTTTTTGGTGGAACCGGGTTTAAACACAGGGCTTTGAGCTTGCAAAGCAGAGACTCTACCGTATGAGCCACACCTCCAGTCCATTTTGCTCTTATTTCGGAGATGGGGGGTCTCAAGAACTATTTTCCCAAACTGGCCTTGAACCACAATCCTTTCAATCTCAGCCTCCCAAGTAGCTAAAATTACAGGCATGAGCCACCAGCACCTGGCTTGAATATGTTTTAAATTTTGTGGAAAAATAAAAACAAGCCACAGGCAGGAGCACATAGAGAACAGAAGCTACAACACCCTCATCTCAGCACCCTGTTTGCTAGAGCATACGCTAGCCCTTGTCATTGCCAATGATCATGGCCACCCTTGATGGCAACTTCAAACCCTGCCTTTTTTCTTTTTCTTTTGGTGTTGATCAGGGCCTTGTGCTGGCTTGGCAAGCACTCTACCACTTGAACCATGCCTCCGGCATGTTTTTTTTATGTTGGATATTTTTGAGATATTACGCCTGGACCGAAATCCTATTTGTGCTTCCCTGCATAGCTGGGATGACAGGTGCACAACACCACGCCCAGCTTTTTATTGTTTGAGATGGGGTCTTACTAACCTTTTACCTAGGTTGGCCTTGCTCTCCCTCCACCTCTCGAGTAGCTGGGATTGCAGACATGAGCCATTGTGCTCAGCAGTACAATGATCCTCTCTGATCTTTTCTGCTCACATTTTTAGCTCTCTAACTCCCTTCCATGGGCTGGAGTCCTCAAAGCCTGCCACTACACCGCCCTCCTAAAACCCTCCAGCTCTGCCCTTTCTCCACTCTGCATTCTCCGTGACTCCCAGCCTCAATGTCCCTGCTGTCTTCTTCAAATAGCCATCACCCTGACTTGTGAGACACCTCTCAGCATTCCCAACATCTAGTTCTCATTATCAGCATCCCACTCTCTTGAACAAAACTGCACACACCTTTCATGTACTCTTCCAGCCTCAGCTGATAACCCTGATTCTGATTTCACTGAGAAAAGAGAAGCAACCAAAAGGGAATTTCCACCTTCTCGATGTGTCCAGAATCACCCCTCTTCGTAGACCTGTCCTTGTGCCCAGTATCTTCCCTTGCACCTTCTCAAGGCCTCTGCTGCTGAGCAGTCTCCTCTCTCTTGCATCAGTTCTCCTTTCCACTGGACCAGCATGCAAATGAGCTCTACTAGCTCTCTTCTTAATACTTGCATACACAGTGTCTTTGGCCTCATGTCCTCCACCTGTTACAACCATTCCGTACTCTCCGTCATCACTAACATCCTTATGGTCTATGTACTGTCTCTACCTCCTTCCATCCCTTCATGCAACAAATATTTATTACGTGCTTACTCTGCGCTGCAGTATGTTTTAGGCACAGCAAAAAGAGTAGGCAGAATATTTTTGGTCCAAGCTGCAGCCCAATTCTAGAATTACAGATAAAGCCAATTAAGATCTGGGAGGGGAAAGGAGAGGGAAAAGAGAAGAGATAAATAAAATCCCTCCCTTACTGGGCTTATCTTCTTTGAAGACAATCAATAAAGAATAAGTGAA